AGAAAAAATAGTTAACATATATTATGTTCATATTGGTATATATAGATTTAATATTTTAATGGGCACATCTGAGAGCCTGTCTAAATTTCAAAACGATAGTAACAAATTTACGGGCCCAATTTAAAAACCATTCACACAATTGCTACTGATATTTCCTTATTAATAACTACAATCAATATTTTTGGTTATGAACTGTTTATTTGCGTTTTTGATTAAATCTACTTCACAATTATAATTTTTTGATCAAAACGAATAATAATTGATTTTTTCCAAATTTAAACGCATGAAGATCTAGTGCATCCGTACAGCTGTGTAAGTAGTATTTTTACCACTTTTCTGCATTCAATTAAGTTTACCAACATATTGTTATTTCCATTGTTTAGGCCAGTAGTAAGTTGTACAAGCTACAAACATTTCAATCATAATCTGCAGCAACGGAAATGCATTTAATTGAAGGGGGTTCGACAACAATAAAAATCTTTTAGTTTCATCACGATACGGAACTAACGCTTTCGTTGAGCGATACACTTTATCAAAGTTATCCCGTCATAATTTAATTTCAACCACTTCGTCAATTTGAAACTCGCGAGACTATATTATAAATATATATGTTCAATGACGCCGAACAAAATTGAAATTGGCAGTTCAAATAACTTGAATGACCCACCACCTCGTCCAATTTACCACCACCACGCCTCTGATCATTTTCTTTTTTTTGTGTACATCTATACATATTTTAAATGGTAAACTTTTACCAAGTAATATAGAAAATAATTAATTTGATTTTCTGATGATCACTTTGTATTTTATACTAATATTCATTAATTAGGTACTGTTCAAATTTATTGTGGGTGTCACAGACGATACAAGGTCACGTCCCGTCATCGGCCACCGCTCGCTTTTCATGACTCTTCGTCTACGGAACATCGAAAGAAGAACATTTTATTTTTTTAAATTATTCGGAACTAATTCTGAGTGAGAGGTGTTTTGTTTTACATTTTTTTTTACTTCGAATGTCATAAACAGGGGAAAAAATAATGCTTCAGTTTTAAATATTGAGTGTGGTTTATGGAAGAAAATTGAATGTAAGTTGAAGAAATTTCCAGTTATTTTCAAAATATTGTGAAAAAAAATATACGAAAAACTGATTTTTTATTTTACCTAATTCAAAAATAATTAACTGTAATTACTTGAAATATTCTCCAATTCTCCGTGTATATATATACCAGCAGTTTTTATTTACCATTTTCCAAATATTGTTTTGCCGTTTATAGACAATGTTGAGGTTTTCAAATTTTGAGTTGTAAACTTGATTTTGTATATACAATTTATCAATTAATTTCTTTGTACATATTTCAGTTTTCCATGATTTGATTATGATTTGAATTCATAAAGTTGTTAATTATATCACCGTTTCGTAATTTCATTATTATAATTATCACAAAAAATTGAACCTCATTGAATACATTTCTTGTCTGTCCTTTTACTAATATTTGTATTGTTTCAAATCGATTAAACACTGATTTTTGAGATATTTTGTAATTCAACTAGGTTTGGAATATATAATTACCCTACAAATTAATTGAAAAACAATTAATAAACCTTAACATCATAAATTCATTGTTTCATAATTTAAGCATTAGCACGAGCACCTATTTTCCAAATTTGTTTATTATATACGATCGGTCGTTAAATCTAAGGTGTCGAAAACTAGTAGACTCGAGGGCGGAACAAGTGAATAAAATCAAACGAGTGTTATGATCGATATGTATTCAAAAGCATATGAACTATACCACAATCTATACTCACACATAATTATCTTTCCGTCGTATTCGGTCACCTTCATTAATAATAATAAAAAATATGAAATGTATTGTTATTCATGCTGGTTTCATGGTGCTGATAAACGAACGTGGGTGAAGCAGTGTAAAAACGTAGGTATGTTAGACCGTTCAGATGTTCGGCAGAAGAGTAGAGGAATGCATAGGTCATGCGAAAGGCACATTCTTCTTTTCCCAGATAATATTAGTCGCTTAAGAGGATCACATGATATCTGCGGAGAAAACATTGAATACAAAAAACCCAAACTATAATTTAACCTTCCGCGTACTATAGGGACACCGGAAACGATTATATTTTTGACTTATACTTACATACAAGATCAAAAACGTTTATGAGGGAGAATATAGTAAACATTAAATATTATACACGTTTTCAAAAGCTCGAATACTGTCTCGATGATGATAATTATGTTTTCATCGGCAATATCATTATGTGATATCATGCCATCGATAAGCGTGCAATGCGTATTATCGTTTTCAGCGTCAATTTAAAATCATTTAATTTTAATAACGTTAAATAATTTAATAACAATTTTCATATTCGTTATAATATTATTTGGATCCACGTCATACGTTGAAAATTGTATAAGCATAATAATGAACCCACAACAAACCCTTTTGCGACATAATATCAAAACTCATTAAAAAATATACTCAAACTTTGTGACGAAAGAATATAGATGTTTTGTTTTTATGTACAATATAAAACCTGTGCCTCGGTAGAGTATAAAGAGAAATGAAAAATCCATCTTATGTCTACGAATATACTCCAATCTTAAACATATAAACAGAAAACACGTACTCTGACAAAAAAAAATATTTTTTAATTTACATACTCAACTTCAATTGGCAAAAAACTGAAAAACCAAAAACACCAAATCCAACCTAATGCTAAATAAAAAAAAAAGATACAAACAACTATTATATATACCCATGCCTAAAAAGAAAAGATGAAACTATCAAGAACTTCTTACGAATAAGACACACGTACATTCCTTGCACATCAACTACCTTTTTATTTTAAAGAAAATGTACAATCTGTACACAACAAAGTAATATGAAGTAAATTGTGTAATTGAAATTAGGTTTGGTTTGCACGAACGACATTACGGCATTTTTACATTATTTACATTTTGATCTGAGGATATTGGTGTTACGAGAGGATGTGTTGGAGGACAACATACTGAGAGATAATGTGTATTACTTCGTGTGTTTGGAATTTGTTGAAAACGTTAATAGATTACTTGGGTTATAGTTGGGTAGTTGTTGTTAACTTAGTACAACTAACTTGTGTCAAAAAGCCAACCACCTATAACATGCAACAAGTATAGAGTCGAGTATAGTGTGAATAATACAGTAATAGTAAAACGCATCTACACTGAACACAACATATACAAGGATTGATGCAATATTATATTACTATAAAGTATAAACACTACATTCCGCAGTATCGCAGGTCGGATAAGTGCTGAGACAAAGTTTTTTATTTGATACCTATCATTTATCAACTTTATAATTAAGAATAAGACTAAAAAATATAATTATATTGAACCATAGACTGTATATAAGATAAAAGATAAAACAAAATGTAAATTATATGTAAAAATCAATCGTGTAAACATGTTATTTAAGTTTTAGCAGTGATATAATGCCCACACTAGTTTAAAATTGTAGACATTGACCATAATTTAATTTTGGTCACAAATTATAATGCTATATTATGGTACTACAATGGACTTAGATGCATAAAACCATATAAGCACACTTCATATATTGTTGGTTTATTCTAAAAGATTTTATTTTTATTTTAGAACGACTATCTTCATTAGTTATGTTATTAGTCCAAAGTTTGAATTATATCTCGTTACTCAGGGACTTCCAATGCGGAGAGTGAATTTATGACAAGTCTAAAAATGCAACGCATGAAACTTGAACTCTGTATATAGCCGCAATATTATGATGACACCTTGATCGTCCGACTCTGGTTCAAAAATTCAAAAATGGGGATAGAAAGAAGGAAATCGAGTTTGTTTGTTTTAATAACTGGTCCACCGAGCAAACTACTTCAACACATTTGCCAAAAAATTTTCTTACAGCCAATTATATCGAAAATATCTCTTGATAAATTAAACTGTATTATTACATGGTATGTACAAACCCTCAAAAAAAGTAAGCGATTAAACTGCAAAATAATAGTACCTCGGTACATATAAATAAAGAGGTTTAAGGTTTTAACGTGTTTCTGAATTAGGTCAAAAATAAATAACGATAAGACAAAAAGAGCACTCTAAAACTTGGCAAAGACAGATAAGTAAACTTAACGTCTCTTTTAAACGCCACTTAATTGTTTCCAAACGCAAGATGTGACGTCCGTTCGTAACCTCCGATTGAAATAGTTTAGGTACTCGGAATCGCACGCTTTGATTGTTTTCAATATTATATTATCCACGGTTAGAACCACGACTCGAATCCAATAGCATTTTCTAATTTATTGCTTTAGAATACAGATAAAAATCACAGAGGAAACTATACATTTGTATTGAGCGTCAAGGATTTTGAATATAACTTTAACACTGTATATGTTTACATATAAGTATTTTAGATATTTAGAGAAATTCCCCGGGTTTCGGTCATATTTTTATTTACAAGCCAGCATTAAATCAAATTTAATTTGTGCTTTTCATAAATCTTATAATTTCAATATGATATAAATAGAAAAGAAGTCATATATATTAATTTTAGTTTTGTTCTTAATTTATAAATTATTAATATCATTTTAAAAACTAAATTGTTGGTTAATCGTATGCATTTTTTAAATGAATGCCTAGTTCATATTTTTTTATCATTATCTGTACTTGTTAATGCTATACAATCCAACCCCTGGTTAATAATCATTACTTTCCACGTTTTGCCCTTCCCCCCCCATTAAGCCACGGACGTCGAGAAATACAAAACACGAAATGTACACAGAGAAAAACGATATTGTTTGTATATTATATTTTATTGTTATGTCGACGGTTGTAAAACGAACTGCGGAAGTGGCCGACCTTTGGAGATTTTTCGGGAAACATAATATTTTATTTATTGTATACCAACTACACGATTATTATACCGGAGTATACCTTTTTGTTAACCGCTTTGTTTGTGTTTTTGTTTCAGGTAAACATAGTAATATAATTGTGCCCCCGTCGTGGATCGTCAAGTTGCCACGGAAGGGCAACTTCAAGTCCAGCATTAGATCGCCGAAAAAACGGTCGTCCAAAAAGAAAACGAAAGATAAGGTGCGTATGCGACATGCGTATATTATACATAGCTAGTATGAATATGTAGTTCCGAAATAATATTCTTTCCCTCGCGGTACATATCATTATTATTATTATACCGTGTTAACCGTGAACGTGGTACCACCGTTTGAACCACACGTACCCGACCCGCAAAGCTGTGAGCATTTACCCGTATCGCTTGTAAATTATTTACACCTTATCTGAATGTCGGTCAGCTCCGTTTGTTGTTGGGTCGAAACAAAACGTTTCGGACTTTTATAAATGAACGTATATTGTTCTCGAGGATCGCGTGTACCATTGTTTTATTTTTATACACATCGGGAAAAACGGGTGCACCTTATAATGGTTAATTAAAACTACTTACATTTTTTATGGGCAAATGGTTTATTTTATAACAATGCGCGTTTTCCGTTGTTGAAAAATTCATCACCCGCGTTATTCGTATGTGGAAGACGTGTGATACACACGTCATATTATAACACTGGTTGTACAGTGGCACATCAATTACAAGAGCAGAGATACCAGGGACGGGTCTTAAAAATTATTCAAAACTTCTATTTCAACAGAAAACATGTGGCTAATAATCGCTCGATTGCACAACTACCACACTGGATGTCGAAAGTACATATTATTATTTGTTATTTCATCGTTCAACAACTTACATTCGTCGCTTGTCCGCCGGTCGCAAATTGTTATTATATTATTATCATTATTGTCGAAGTAGTGTAATACACAGATGAGACCGAATATCCTGGATACACCTATCTAACGACATGGAATCAAATATTTTCTTCCCTCCATAGGCGTGACTAGACTTCATTCACAGCGGCGGCCTAGCTAATAACCAGCGCTACTTTAATGAATCAAAAAAGCCCTATAAACCAAAGGCCGTATTTTTTTAAAAATGTTTTCTTGTTTTTCTTTGTCACGTCCACTCACGTCTATATTTTTAGATTTAATAAAAAAAGCCAAATAAAATTAAGCAAGTACGATAATTGAATTTTTAATCATAAAATATGATTAATTTTATTAACGAATTTTATTTCATAATCAATTTTTTTTAAATTTTAATATAAATAATTTACACGTAATTTTATTCCTTCAGTATGTAGTGTAAGTACTGATAAATATTCAATGAAAATATATATTTATAAAAATTGAAAAATAAATCGTCTTTCAACCAGAAATATAATCTTCATAAACTTAGGTTAGGTTAATTACCCAGTTAACACACTGTTAATTTTAATCACAGATTTTTTTGCACAAAACCGTTTCCAACTATAAAACAATATAAACGGCCTGAACATTTGTGATAGGTAGGTATAGCTTCTAATTATTTAGGTTCAACCTTGAAATGAGTCTCGACTTTATTTTACTCCCCGTTTGTGTTTATATAATTTTCGGGTGTCTTGTGATAATGATAAAACAACAAAATATTTTATAAATGTACATTATTTTGCATGAATATTAATGATCTGTAGTTAATTGCGTTTCAACTTAAACAAAGTGGTAAATGAAATACAGAGATTTTTTTGTTTCCTATGCTTCCCCTTCTAGTTGGTTTTAACTACAGTATTTGTAGTAGATCGCTTAAGTTCCTAGAATAATTTTATGTAAAACATTTGTGTTTATCATTCCCAAGAAATGTACTTATATTTGGCTCCAAAGTTATAACGCAAACTTTAATGGACCAACGAAAAACCAATAATTGTACCACACAAAGTTTCCACCTAACCAACCTATTCTAGAAATTCATTGTAAACTTTCTTATTGCCGTGGCTTATTCTAATTGTTTTAACATAATGTTCTGCCCTAAACTTCTAAACCGTCTAAAACAGCCATTAGGTAAGAAACTACTAACGCGAAGTTTAATGATAGTAACCCGTCTAGCCAATTTGTGTAATTCAATTATTAAAAATGTCTACTTTTAAAACATTTATAAATTCTGACGAGAAAAAAGCAACCATTATAATTGGTTTTGCAATGATAAAACAAATGAAAATATGATGTTTTCATTTCGGGAAAAAACCTTTAAGGACGGTATTATTTAAACATAATATTATTATATTTCAGTTTCTAAGCCGATTTTGAATAAAACTATAATTATTATTAATTTATTTCGATTAGTTTTTGATATTTTGGGAAAAAAAAACATTTTTGTTCATCCTAAATATTGGTAAAAAACTTGTCAAACCTGCAGTGTTTGTTCTGAGTTATATGTACATCATATAAAAACAAATTCTTATTATCTATAAACTAAGTATTTTGTAGAATATTATAGCATAGAATTCAGTATAAATGCATAGTATTATAGTTTTGACTTAATAGATTTCAGTAAAATCCGATGTGATAATTATTATCAAATGTTAAGAATTTTGATAAGAAAACTAGAATTTTTTTAAATCTAATGAAATTTTCTTCGTTTTGTATTGTTTCGTTGATCTTGCGTTTCCAGTGAAATATAATAATTACGAAATCGTTAAAACGAAATAATACATAAGTGCCAACAAATACATCTACAAAATTCATTAACATGAGATTTAAAGTTTATAATGCTAATTAAAAAAATATAGCATATTGCAAAGTAATTGCAAATATGGTGTCGCGTGACATGTTATTGCACGTGACGTTATCGAACGACTGAACTTATACATTATAATAACAATGTACAGAGTGATTCAACAAGCATACTCACCTCCGATTTTTCCTTTAGTTATGGATTTACTGAGATTGAAATTTTTAAATACTTAAAATTTTTATACCATTTAAGGAGTACGAAGTGGGGATACCAACTTTTTTCAAATAAATACTCTTTTGTAGTGTTCATTATTATTAAACAGTTGATATTTTAAAAATATTGATGTTTTAAATCAAAATTCAACAACTAGTAATCTTTGAGTTACCCATTTAACTTTGTACACTAAGATACTTTTTATACTTTGTATATAAATCCACGATAATGGGTTTTGAAAATTTTAGGGCTAAGACGATTTGAACATTTTAGTTATTAATATTAATTTGTCGACATTTTATAACTTGTAAACAATGATCGAGTTATACACTGAATATTATTAATTATATAATAATACTATTCAATCTATCTTTTTGTAAAAACAGTCCTCAAGGACTATTATCCTTAGTACATAAAATTAATTTTAGTAACTCAGAAACTACTGATTCGAATTGAGGTACATCAACATTTTAAAAACAAATTTATTTGCTTAACAATTTACAAAAAAAAGGTCGGTTCTAACTTTTAAAAAAACATGTTATTTGTATCACCATATGATATTCCTTAAATGATATAAAAAAATGTGAGTAATCATGCTTGATTCACACTCTGTATAATACACAAGAGTATAAGGCACCATGCGACCATGGGATTCGTCCTTAATAATATTCGAGTGACCTTGAGTGATTTATATTAAGTGATGTCGTAGAAGCTTCGCTGTACGAATATATACGTATATTTAAAACGATCAGTTATAGTTTATCATTTTCTACATTATTATGATATTTGGAATGCCTCCATATTATTTGTATACGTTTCATACCTTTAATTATATTTAAAAATGTCATTAAAAAAAAATACATAATGTGACTAAAATGTGTGTATAATATTTAACTAGTAACTATATTTGCCGTACTACAAACTATTTGTCAATCGATTTTAACAGTGAGATAATTTTTAGTTTACTAGATCACTGTTTATAGTGTAGGATTTCATCTCCGTATTAAGTAGCTTACAGTAAGCACATAAGAACAATAAATTATTCGCCTGTTGTTCAGCTTAAAATAAACGTTTATACTTGTGCTAATATTAAAAGCGATATTCCATCAAACATGTATTTTCGGTTGCATAACGAAATACTTAAAGAGATTAGCTTACTTAATACATACACGCAGTAGGTACCACAGGTTTAATTTATAATTCATCCTTTTGAAAATTAAATCACATTATAATTATATTGTAAATAATTTCTATCAAGTTGAGCAAAAATCTATTTTAAAATACCTGCATCGAGCAAAATAATTCGTTCCAATTTTCATAAACTCAAATTAAATATGCAAACTAAAATATTTACACTGTTTGCAAACAACATTATACAATGAAAATGTGTAAACGTTGTACACGCTCCGTATATTATATTAGCGTGATTTTTATGTTTCATTTTATATGAATCGAATTTAAAATTTAAATCACACGCGACCATATTATATAGCAAAACCAACATTTATTTTTAAACAGATCTTTTTCATTATCCCTGACCTGTGGACATTTATTATTATTTATTTTATCAAATCGTTGAAATTTTTGATACACATTTATAATAGGTAGTTGCCTTGTGTCCATAGTTTCATGACAAGGCAAAACAATATAAAATACTACGATTTATTCACATTGGATACCTGCAGGAGCATTTCAAAAGTGAAATATTTTTCACCTTCCTACTTGTTGTTCGTAAACTTTTTTCCACTTTATTCGTTTTGAACTGAAAAGTAATAAAAAAAAAAATGATAAAAACGTTGGTTTTGTGAAAAATGTTAGAGAGCGTTGTTTTGATTTATTTGTTTGTTTGCTCTTCGAACGCCATACAATGATATATAGTATGCGAACTATGCTATAAGAGTAGCAATACAATTTCACGGGCAGACAATCAAAGCCAGTGTCAGTAATACTCGAGTTTAAAACATTTGTGCACAACAAGCTTTGATACATACTGAAAGTAATAATATCAATCAAAAAATTGTTTAGTAGCTATCGTATTAACGTTTTCACTATACGATATTGTCATAATTAGTATTTGTTAAAAACAATTTCGATAAAACGAAATGAGCCAAAATAAAGGAATTCTTTTTTAGCTAACTGTTGGCCCTGGGGAACCAAAAAACCAAAAACACTAATAAAATTCAAAATATTTAACGGCACCCAAAAAGGACATAGTGTAAGGATTTAATCCAACTTAAATATTATAAAATTAAATAACAGTGGTGGT